GCGCGGGCGGTAGAGCCGGGAAGTGGAAGCGCTCTGCCCAGAAGAGCGGGCCCGGACCGGTCCGCGGCGCCGTGCGTGCCAGCAGTGAGCCGTCCAGCCACAGCTCGGCGCGCACGCCGGCCGCCCCCCGTGGTAGTCCCTTCGCCTCGTGCACCCACACGGTCAGCCACGTCTCCTCCCGCTCCACGTTGTCCTGGGAACCGGGTGGGGTGTCAGAGGAGGGAGGGGGCGCGGGCCGCGCGGAGTCTCGAACCCGTGCTCCGCGCCCCCAGGAAGATCGCTGGGCCCCGAGGGGGAGAGAGTGGGGTGCACGAGGGTCCCCGTGGAAGCTCCCTAGGTTTTTGGGGGTCTCCTTGAGAGAGCAGAAGTCCCTGGGTGGCGCAAACGGTTAAGCTCTCCATTACTAAGTTGTCGGTTCGAACCCACCCAGAGGCACCTGGGGAGGAAGACAGGCCTGGCGATCTGCTTCCAAAAGGTCACAGCCTTGAAAACCCAATGCAGCAGTCCTACTCTGCACACATGGGGTCGCCATGAGTCGGAACTGACTGGACAGCAACTAGTGACAGTCTGAGAGATGGGGGCTCTGGGTCTGTAGGAGCCGCGGCGGAGCCGGGGCTTTGCAACTGCCTGGGTAGGCGGGGCTTTGGGGGCTAACGGGGCAGACACTGAATGGGAGGGGCGGGGCTGGTAATGGACCAATGGAGGCGTGTCTCGGAACGGTAGCAAAAGGCGTAGGCGGGGCAGGTGTATCTCTTGGCGGAGTTGGCGCAGGCAGGGTTTGGCAAAGGTTGAAGGGGCGGGCCCACTGTGCAGAGAAGGGGAGGGAGTTGTACTCCAAAGACGGGGGATTCCCCTAGTGGTTGCAAAAGTCAGCTTGGGCGGGGCAGGTGTGTCTAGGGAGCAGGGTTATGACGTGGGGGGTGGGGGGGTTTGGAGAGGGTGGAAGGCGCGGTCTCCCGGCGCTTGGGGGGGACTTCTGTGGAACACTGACCTGGCTGGGCTGAAAGTGGCGACGAAGATCCTCGATCCAGCGGTCCCTCTCCGCGGCTGAGCGGCAAAAGAAGCAGCGGCTCCCGCCCTCCCATGTCACCTGTTGGGGCAGGGGTCCGGGGATGGGGTTGAAGCCAGGGGTGGAGCCAAAGGGTTGGGGTTGGGACCGAGGTGGAGGGTTGCCCGCGCTTACCTGGAAACAGTGGGGCTCCCCCAGCAGGCTTGGGTGCAGTGGCCAGACCCTCACGTCCCGCTCGGCACCCAGGTCCAGCTCAGAGAGTGTGGCCAGCGATTCCCGCGAGCCCAGAGCACTGGGGGGCCTGGGGAGGGGCGAGTGGGGGTCATTCTACACCCACCCACACACACACACACACACACACACCCCTCTCAAGGGTGTAGAGAGGACTGGACGGACTTTAAACTAAATTGAATCCTTTTTTCTGCACTCCCTCCAAGCCCCCTATACTCTCCATGCTCTTAGGATAACCTCCAAACTCCTAGCGGTGGCCTGCATGACCCTACATAGTGCAGCCCTTGTCACATGTTGACCTTATTGCTCACCACTCCTTCCCTCACTCTCTGAGCTCCAACCACATCTGCCTTCGTTTTGTCCCTTGAACATGCAAAGCTCCTTCTGGCCTCTTGGCCTTTGCTCATGCTGTTCCTTCTGCCTGGAATGCTTTTCCTGCTCCTCTTGGGCTGATTAACTTCCACCCACCCTTCAGATCTCGCTCAGAATTCAATGTCGGGGAAGCTTTCCATGGCACTGCCAGACTAGGGTGTTGATTTAGCTCCTCTTTTATCCTTATGGACTAAGGGCTGGGTCCATGGAGGCTCTCTTAGTGAACCCAGTGTCACCCAACATAGGGCAGGACACAGAGGGGCAGCAGGGGGTGTTTGATGACAGTTGAAATGGAAGGTAGTTAGAGGAGGAGGAGGGGGCACTGCTGAACCCCAGGCTCTCAGGCCCCTCAGAGACCTTACCCATCCCTGGGAGTATTGGCTCCCAGCTCCGACCTGGCCTTTTTTTTCTCTTTCAGCCTCTTGAGTAACCCCTGTGGGAAGGAGGATGTCAGCTGGACAGAGGCCTGTGTTCCCTCCTCAGCTCCTTCTTTGCCCTCAGGGTCTCCCAGAGGATCTGCTGGTCCTGGAGAACCACAAGCTCAGGTTGCATTAGTAGGAGTAATAATAAGGGCAACCAACAGATCCTGTTTCTAAAGCACCTGCGTATGCTTTTCTGCATTCTTATTGAGTTCTCATAAATTGCGAGGGAGATTCTTTCATGAGCTCCATAAGACAGATGGGGACACTAAGGGGGCAGTGAGCTGCCCAGAACCACACAGTAAGAATCTCCTTTCAGCTCTGAGAGTCTTGGGCTCTTTGATTCCCTCCCCCCCCCC